TCCCAAACGACCCCCCTCCTTAAAAAAGCACGCCCCCCCCCCCCTCCCCCCCCACCCCAACTTGGCTGTGCGAGGGCCCCCCCTGCTGCTCTGGCCACCTCGGCCCGCCTCTTCCCCGCTTTCTTTCCCCCAGTCCTGCCGGGTCCCCAAGGCAGGGCAGGAGGAGGAGCAGACACGCCAATCTGGCGGGGGAATTTCGACATCCCGGCCAGAAAGTCTCATCCCCGGGCACGTTCTGTCCCTGCCTCTTCTGCCCGTGGGTTTGGGGCAACCCCTTGCCTGCCTCTTGTGCCAAGCTCGCTCAAGGGGATTCCTGCGATCGGCTGTTCTTGAACAATCGCCCTCTTGGCCCCTACTTTTCCTTTGACTGGTTTTGCAATCACGAAGGGCAAATGGGTGGCTGCGGTTTGGCCGAGAGCCCCGCGGCCCCCGGCTGCTTCCTGGTTCAGGGCTTCCCACAAACTCGCGTGCCGTGAATTGCAAGTTTTGACTCGGGGGCTCGAAGGGGGCTGGTTGTCCCTGGCCCTGGAGCACCAGCTTGGCTCCAAGAAGGTCCTGAACCTGCTCCCCAGGAAGAGGCTCACGACCCTGGGAGAGAGACGGGAAAGGAACTAGTGCTGGTGGACAACACAGCCCAGGAGACAGGCATGATTCCCCGCCCTGGGTCTTGGAGTCCTGGAGTCGGTCTGAGCCCCTGAAGCCCCACCCGGGGCAGAAATCGCAACTGCAGCATCCCGAGGAGGAGGTCACCTGGTGAAAGGGAACCACGGAATTGCTCAGGACAGTTCCGTATTTGGGGCCCCAGCGCTAGCACCCGATGCTCTGCACCCCTTTAGTGGAGTGAGACGGGCTGATTCCCAGAGGTGCCCCAAGCAAAAGGAACATCTCCTTGGCATCCGACGTGCGAGGCTGAGAGGTGGCACCAGCCAGAGAAAGCTACAGGCATGGAGGGACATCCCGTGTCTCAAATGATGCCTATCATATAACTCTTGACATTTGCATGACGATGTCAGGACACGCATGACCTCATTACAGCTTCCCCAGGACCATGTAGCATGACTCAGAGCTGCCAGTGAAGAAGAGGTTGGAGTAGACCTCCGGTGTTAGGCAATTTCAGCCATGTTGCTTCTTCCATTAACAGCTGCAACTTCCCTGTCTCTTCCCCTTCCATTGACAATCACTTCTGCTGACACACAGAAAAGTTTGGCCACTGATTCCTTCGATTTCCCAGCCTCACCTTCACCCTGGGATTTCTGGGGGTGGTCTCCCCTCCAAGTTCTAGCCAGGCCAAGCCCGGCTTAGCTTCTGAGGACAAACAAGGTTGGCCAAGTGTCGCCAGCTGCTGAGGTGCCCTGTAGCTGAAGAAGATGGAAAGTGCAGAATAAGCACTTTCTAATCACTTTCAGAAATTGCCTATGCACCATCTTAAAGCTATTAGAGACCTTTGGAACAACAGGTTTCAAAAGCCTCCATAGGGTGAGTTTATTTTCAACTCTGAACAAAAGAAAAGAATAATTAAAAGCTTAAAGAATTTGAAATAAACAACAGAAAGCTAAATAAGATTTTGATCTAACAAAGGTATAAACAGATTAAGGGTCCAGATAAATTTGT